AGCCTGGTTTACAGAGCGAGTTCCAGGACAGCCTCCAAAACAATACAGAGAAACCCTGTCTCAAAAAACCAAAAAAAAAAAAAAGAGCCACCCTCTGACCCAGGACAGCCATTTGATGAGGAAAACATTGCTGCACTTGAGTAGAGGGAAGGAAGAGGTGGAAAGAAAGCACTCAAAACTGAAAAATTTTTTGATGTTTTGAATTTTTCAGTTTCAAATATAAAAATCTCCTTAATTTATCCAGGCATGGTGGTGCGCACCTTTAATGAGGTGTGGGGGAAATCTCTGAATTTGAGATCAACCTGGCCTACAGGGCCACACAGAGAAACCCTGTCTTGGAAAAACAAAACAAGCAAAGCAAAACAAACAAAAACCTTCTAAATTTTAAAGCAGTTGGTTCAAAGGATCCTTTCTATAGCTTATACAGCATGGCATGGAACTGTCTCAATTTAAGACATATGCTTTGATTTAGGAGAAAACATTCCTTCCCATTTAAAGCTTTGCTATGCACAAGTGCCCAATGAGGATGACACTCTCCCTTGCAGTGGGGATCACTCAACGATTTCCCAACACAACCACCCTATTGCATCCAGTTAACTCAAATTCTTTGACTACCTGATATACCCAACATGGGGAAGCATTAATTTTTTCTTTTTCACATTCAAATTAAATGAAAACCATTTTAAAATACCACTTCTTTTTTTTTTTTTTTAAGATTTATTTATTATGCATACAGTGTTCTATCTCCATGTATGGCCACAAGCCAGAAGAGGGCACCAATCTCATTACAGATGGTTGTGAGCCACCATGTGGTTGCTGGGAATTGAACTCAGGTCCTCTGGAAGAGCAGTCAATGCTCTTAACCTCTGAGCCATCTCTCCAGGCCCAAAAATACCAGTTCTTAATAGAAGCATTCTGGCAAAACTCCAAACACACAAGAGTGCCCTTTATGGTTAAGGAGCTCGTATAGGTCAAACAAGCCTACAGGAGGGAATGTAGAAGCTCTTACCAGAATGACATTTAGAGTCTTCAGCCACAAGAACTGTCCACAGAAGGACTGGAACCCACAGGAAGGTCTGTTACACACAAGGATGTGTTGAACTACACAAATATGCTGCACTGATTGGGACTGATAAAGTGGCAGAGGGCAGGCTGTGATCAAAGTTGGACTCCTTCCTGTGGGCTGGCTATCAAAGCATATTCCATTACCCATGCAATTACCCTGTGTCCCAAACTTGTCATCTACAGTCACTCAAGTCTCCAGGTCACAAGGTCTACACAGAGGCAGAAGGACAGACACAATACTAACCAAGATACAGGATTCTGATTTAGAAGAAACAGCTACTCAAGACAAGTGGAAAATTTAACTACAGACTGGCCACTGGATGATACCAAGGCCTTTTGTTTCATTTCTTAGACTATGAGTGATAGAAATAGAGTAGAGGAGCCAGGTGGTGGTCACACACACCTTTAATCCCAGCACTTGGGAGGCAGAGACAGGTGGATCTCTATGAGGTCGAGGCCAGCCTGGTCTACAAAGTGAGTTCCAGGACAGCCTCCAAAGCCACAGAGAAACCCTGTCTCGAAAAACCAAAAAAAAAAAAAAAAAAAAAAAAAAAAGACCTGGTTCACACCTGAGGGCAACTTTAACCTACTAGGTGTTCTGCATAACTAACATATTCTAGGGGAGGCAACACTATCAAGAGCTTTAACGCCACAAATGCCACAGAGTCACTGAGTTTATATAGATGACTATAGCCACTAAAGCTATCACGTGATGGAAAGCCCAAAGCTAAACACCAAAGGCAGCTACAAAGAGTTAAACTTCAGAAATCTAGAGCCAGAGTTGTTTCCACAAGACGTGGTCAGCAACCCCGATAAGGCTGCCTTGGAAACAAAGCGCATTCCACAGTAAGCAAACAGCCCACATTAAGGTCACTTGGTCCCTGTTCAGTCCCTGAAATGTTCTGGGTCACATACCACAAGCCTGGACTTTTCTGGTTGCTTCTTTTGTATTTCCCCTGAATGTGACACTAGCATCTTCACCAACTACCCTTTTTCTGTGATCTGAGCAGTCACCAGTGACAAGCCTAAGCCACAGTTTCGACTGAAAGTCGCTGGAAATCTTTAAGTGTCCCTCACAGGATGCAAGTGTGGCTTTCATGATACAGTGGCCACACGGAGTCACACCCCTGTGGCTGGCAGGTGGAGCAAAGACCACAAGGTGAGGCTTAAGGAGCAGCCATGACGACGGCTTTAGATGAAAACTCAACTGCTCTCAGTATCTGTCTGCAGAGGTGATGCAGTTGACAGGGCAGCAGAGCAGGGCAGCGGACACACAGCCTTACTGCTGCTAGTGGTTTAGACTTTGTACAAAAGGGAAAGAGAAACCTGGGCCACAGCTGCTGGGAGATCCTCACATGGAGAAGGCTGTAAGCAGAACTCATACCTTGCTGAACTTTTGTCCCACCATTTTCATAGCAAGTCACTTAAATTGTGTAGCCACTGACTCTCAAAAGTATCCTTGCAGATGTGGGAAGGAAGCTACAGCAGATTGGCTCCAGACCATGAAGGCATAACACATATTCTCTGAAAACAGGCCTCTCAGATAACCTCAGATGTTCCAGAAGCATTTCAGAGAACACTCTCAGAACACACAGCAACAAGTCTCCCTTAACTGTCTATAATTTTCCTTAGAAAACTCCTTGGGAACTGGATCTCCTTATTTTTTTATTTTAGAGATAGCACCTTAATATTTTGTACAGGCTGGCTTTGAACTTCTGTGTTCTAACAAACCTCTGGCCTCAGCCCCTTCTCTCAATAGCTGGGAACAGAAGATGCACCCAAGTACAGGGAAGGCCCTTTTCTCTAGTTTATACAGGTGCCTACCACCTTATACAATTCTCTGAGAACAGGAATCTATGAAGACACCACTAGGTGGCTGGAGAGATGGCTCAGAGGTTAAGAGCACTGACTGCTCTTCCAGAGGTCCTGAGTTCAATTCCCAGCAACCACATGGTGGCTCACAACCATCTACAATTCAATTTGGTGCCCTCTTCTGGCATGTAGACAGAACACTGTATATGTAGTAAAAAATGAGAGAGAGAGAGAGAGAGAGAGAGAGAGAGAGAGAGAGAGAGAGAGAGAGAGAGAGAGGACACCACTATTATAGCAGGTAGTGCAGTGCTAGGTGCAAAGTAGAGGCAGGAATGGCCCATGAGGCAGGGAAGTTCTTCTGTCTCCCCAGGTGTCCTCTTGTGCACAAATAGGAAAGGGTTTACTATTCCTAGCAGTATCTTCCAAAATCTGAACTACTACTAAAAGCACGTATCAAACAATTAGCAAGAAGGCTATGGGTTGAGTATAGATCAGTGTGGTAGAGCATTTGCCCAGCATATCTAAGGCCCAGGGATCAATTCCCAGCACTACAAAAAAATAAATGAAAACAAAAAATTATTAGAAACAATCAGTAAGATGGGTTGTTTGAGATGGCTCAGTGGGTAAAGCTGCTTACCACACAAAGCAGACAACTAAAATTTGATCCCTAGAACACACATATGGCAGAAGGGAGAAAACAGACCCTACTATCTTCTGATCTCCATGTGTGCACTATGCTGTGGGCATATGCCTTACCCCATCATGCACACAACTTGCTATGAACTGGCACTTTGAAATCACTTTGCTAAAAAGCACCAATTCCTCACCTGGAACCACATGGTAACTTAAAGCAGACAAAAGCCTGGAGTTTCTGGGCTCTATCTGCATTTCTCCATTGTCTTAAGACTCTGAGTCCTTCACCTGCTTAATTCCCAACTTATGTCAAATCCTTAAGGAGTCTTGCCTACAAGCTGATGACAGCTAATCTACTTCATGTTCCTTCAAGGTTGAAAGCACAAAGTAACTAAGCTATCTTACTGTCAGCTTTGACAACGTCCTGCTCCAAACCCACAGAAAGCACCTTAAGTCTCCAGTTGCCCTAAACCCCACCGACAGAGCACCTCATGATGAGCTCACCCCCTAGCAGGAATACCCATCTCAGGGTAACTGGATGGTCTTCTCACCACCTTGCAGAATCACAACTGAGATAACGATCAACCAGCCAACACTGACCAAGACTACTTAATTATGTACTCCTCTTGCTCCTACCTAATTCTGTTTAAACCTAAGGCTCATGTCATGCCCCAAAAATGGGCTTAAATGCCTACTTTTCATCTCTCCTAATGGTTGTTTTGATTATACTGTTTGCACTCCCCACCTGTAACAGGGAGTCTCTGTGTAGCCCTGGCTGTCCTGACTGACTCTGCCAACCAGGCTGGCCTCGAACTCAGACAGGATTACAGGATCAAAGGTGTGTGCCATCATGCCTGACTTGTTTGCTTTCTTTAGGGCTGAGTGGCTGGACCTGGTGTGCTGAAACCTGGAACTGGAACTCTGGCCTAGTACTGCAATTACAGGCACATTCCAGGATAAAGCCTAGACACTAAAAAGTGGGGCAAGAGGGCTAGAGATGGCTCAACAGTTAAGAGCACGAGCCACTTTGCCAGATGACCTGGGTTCAATTCCCAATAACCACATGGCAGCCCATAACTGCCTGTAACTCCAATTCCAGGGACTCTGACAGCTTCACACAGACATATGCAGGCAAAACATGAATGCCTATGAGATAAAAAGTATCTGAAAGATTGAGGTACAGAACCCTGGAAGATGAGAGCCTGGCAAGCTGCCACACTTCCCAGATCTGAGTAAAGGCCAGGAAGGGTAAGAGCATTCTCAGATTCTGCGGCTAGATTCAGTGACATACAGAACATCTGCAGGAACTACAAATCCTACAACAGTATCTCGAAAGAGTAATGAAAAGAATGACAGAGCTGACTGAATTGGTCTGTGCAGATGTTCAGATGAAGACAATGCTGGCTGGAAGAGACTCTAGTGGCTAGTGGCTAGGTCTCTAACTCCACCACAGGGCTAACCAGTCAGTGGCCAGGCAAAGAGTCACTTACCTACTCCATCCTCTCATCAGGTCAACCAGAAATCAAAACTACAGTATCTGAAGCCAGGCACACAGAAAATGAAGGCTTGAAGTGAAGAGGCGGAGGCAGGGACCATGGCCACTTACTGTCTCCATGCTTCTAGAGCTCCACTTCCCAGATCTCTTTCTCCAAACTCTCGGCCCACCAGAGACCTGAAACACACACACACATTTCTTTCGCTGAACATATGCTACACATATACTACCCTCATAATTTCTTAAAAACTTTTTCAAAGGTTTTAGGGACTCTCTGTGTATGTATCAACATCAAACGGTTTTCAATCACCAAAACATCAGTCACCATAGTCAAGAATTAACTGGTCAAGGACACACTCACCACCTCCTCTTTTTTTTTTTTTTGGTTTTTCGAGACAGGATTTCTCTGTATAACAGCCTTAGCTGTCCTGGAACTCACTCTGTAGACCAGGCTGGCCTCAAACTCACAGCGATCCGCCTGTCTATGCCTTCCAAATGCTGGGGTTAAAGGCATGCACTACCAGTGCCCAGCACTTTCTCTTCTTAATTTATTTTTACTCTATGTTCATTTGGTATTTTGCCTAACATTTGTCTGTGTGAGGGTATCAGAAGCGCTGGAACTGGAGTTACAGATAAGTGTGAACTTTGTGGTGCTGGGAATTGAACCCAGGTCCTTTAGAACAGCCAGTGTTCTTAACCACTGGGTCATCTCTCCAGCCTCTTGCTTTCACTATAAGAGACTGCATGTCTTCAGCTTTCTATTGCCATGACAAACACCATTACTAAAAGCAACCTGGGGAGGAAAGAGTTTATTTCAACTTCCAGGTAACAGTCTACACTGAGGGAAGTCAGGGCAGGAACTGAGGCAGAAGCCATGGAGGAACACTGCTTACTGGCTTGCTTCTCAGGGTTTACTCCGCCTGCTTTTTTATACCACCAAGGACCACCTGCCTAGGGGTAGCACGCCACACCACTCCCCATCCACCTGAGCATAACTTGCCTACATTGATCATTCATCAAGAAAATGCCACACATGCCTACACACCAATTTTATGGAGGCATTTTCTCAATTAAGGCTCCCATTTCTAGGGGCTAGAGAGATGGCTCCGTGATTAAGAGCACCGTCTACTTTTTCAGAGGACCCAGGTTCAATTCCCTTCACCCACATGGCAGGTTACAACTGTCTGTAACCCCAGTACCAGGGAACCCAGCACTCCCACAGAGACATACATGCACATTAATAAATAAATAAATAAAGCATTAAAAAAATTCCCTCTTTCCACAACATGTCTCTGTCAAGTTGACAAAAACCAGCAAGTACACCGATACCTTGAAACTTTCTAAAGGTTCTCAAAATATTTTAATTTATATATCTTTTCCTGAAAATGAAAATCACAAAGAGAGAGTGTTTACAAACTACAGGAAGCGAGAATCAATGCCTTCATGGAAAGGCCACTGAAACCCTGGGTGTAGACCAGTGGTTCTCAACTTTCCTAACGCTGCAACCCTTTAATATAGTTCCTCAGGTTGTGGTGACCCCCCCCAACCATAACAATATTTTCGTTGCTACTGCATAACTATAATTTTGCTACTATTATGATTTTTAATGAAAATATCTGTGGTTTCCGATGATCTTTTAAGCAATCCCCGTGAAAAGGTCGTTTGACCCTTACAGAGTCGCGACCCATAGGTTGAGAACCATAGGTGGAGAGTCAAATTTGTAACTTCCTCTCAATTCTGGTTAGTGTGAGATTAACTCAAGCCTGAAACTTGTATTGTCTATAGCACTTTAAAACACACACACACACACACACACACACACACACACACACACACACACACACCGCAAACTAAAATTTCCCTAGTCTTGACTTTATCACCACGATATAAAGGGGGAAAAATTCTTTCTCCTACAAAATTACAAGAATGCACTTGCCAGAGCTGACTGGTTTTACGAAGCCAGAAGCGTCTTTTTAAAAACAGCACTTAATCGTATCCTAATTAACTTAAAAAACAAATGACTTCCCTTTTTACAAACGCCAGAACAGCGACAGAAGCTCCTCCCGAGGCTCCTAGCTGCAGGGACTTGAAAAGACGCGCACGAGCCTCGTGAGAACCTTCACACACAGCGAGGACCCGCAGCCATCCCAGCAGAGGCGAGTTGGGTCGCCCAAAAAGGACAAAAGGAACAAAAAATGACGGCAGGTACTGTGACCGCGAAGACGCTGCGGGGCCGAGGCGCGAGTTAAGTTTGTGTTCGTAAAGCCTCGGGAGTCAGACCCAGAAGCACACGCTAGAGTCAGGCACCAAGAAGCGTGACACCGACTCGTGTCACCGTCGCGCAGGCTGCCGGCGCCCCTTCCTGGACACGCACGCCGACCGGCACCGGCTTGGGGGTGCCACGACGTGGCGGGAGCCGGGCACCTGATAAAAGATCCCGTGGAGAGTTCCGCTGCCGCTCCACTCTGCGGCCTGGGCCCGCCAGTGGCGCGGGGCGCAGCTGTCAGAGGCCCGGCCGGGTGCACCCACGGAACGCAGCCCCCGCCCGGCCCGCCGCGCACGGACAATGGCGCGGTCCCCGACCCCGGCGCGGCGCCGGCCGTCGAAGACGCCGCAGGAGCGTCCAGCGCGCACTCACCTGAGGCGCCGGCTCCGCGCGGCGCAGCGCGGGCCCGCGGGCTGCGGACAGCGCGACGGGCGCGCCCATTCATTAGCCGCTTTGTCTGCCCCCGCTGCCCCTCCCGCCGCCCCAGCCCCGCCGCCCGCGACGACGCCGGACGCTGCGCCCCTCCCAGGGCCCCGCGCGGGTCGGGGGCGGGGCCCGGGGCGGGGCTGGCGCGCGCAAGCGCAATTCGTGCGCACCTGCCCTGCCTTGGGCTGGGCCCAGCGGACCGCTGGATGGGCTTGAGCAAGTTGAGCAAGGCAAATGGGGCGGGGCCGCAGAGAATACGCAAGCGCAGTTTCCCCTCGTCCCCGCTCCGGAGGTCAGGTTACGCCGGCGCAGTCTCTCGTCCTGGACCCTGGTGCTGGCCTCCTCCGTCAAACCACGCAAGCGCGGTCCAGCGCACCTGCCCCTTCAGGGTTTCGTCCCCAGACTACGCAGGCGCAGTCGCCGTGGCGGTTGGTTAGACTCTGCACGTTTGCGAACGTTCCTCGTTCGCGGTTTCTTCTCCGGGCTGGGCCGTTAGTGGTGGTCCAGCGCCCTCCCAACGGCTGGCCACGGGGCTTCCGGGATTGTGGTCAAGACAGGCACCCGCACGGGGGCGAGCGCACAGCTTCTGCCTGTAGCCCATGGGTGGAGGCTAGACGCTGCAGGTGCTCTCTGCACAGGGCTGGGATCCTGTTTGGGTAAAAGAAATAGGGAGAGCCGCGCAGTGGTGGCGCACGCCTTTAACCCCAGCACGCGGGAGGCAGAGGCAGATGGATCTCTGTAAGTTCAAGACCAGTCTGGTCTACAAGAGCTAGTTACCAAGACAGCCTCCAAAGTCACAGAGAAACCCTGTCTCGAAAACCCAAAAAAAGAAATAGTTTTTGGTAGAACGCCCCAATTCAAATTCCTCTGAGGACCAAGTAATTTCTACAGGTGGAATTCGGCCCAGAGATCCTTCTTCAATGACACTTAAGACCACTACTTGTTCTGTCCAACACTCGTCTCCTGTCTTGCGATTGGGGGGGGGGGTTCTTCTGTGATTTAGGATTATGAGTCCAGCTCGGGGTTGGTGGCTGATGTCACACGTTGAAGCAGCTTGCTTGCCCTGGTTCATGGTCATTAGTCAGGGGAGATGCTTTGGAATTCCGTGTCAAGGTTCAAGGACAAGGCCTGAAGGAAAGGTGTTTTGGGCTGCCAGTGCACTTCGAATGGAAACTATGGCCATCAGTTGTCTGGAACCCCGAGTCTGTCTTCTCTGCCTTCCATTCGGAGCAGCCATGTGTGTGCTTGGAGGTGGTGGTTCCACATCAGGGTACATAGGGAACCCCCAGACAGACCTAGGTGGAGGTCCTCAGATTGCAGGTTCCCGTAGGGTACAGAATTTTCCCTCCGGTAATCTGCCTTTGTGCACACTACCCCACATCTCATGCAAAAGATAACAGAGATTCACTGTTCTTTGCTGCAACTTAGGACGATGAAACACTATCCAACAAACCCACATGGAGTTTATTGGGAAAGGGAGCAAAGGGAGGGGTATCGGGAGCAGAAATGGAAAGAGAAAGAACAGGCGGGAGGAGATGCTTGCTTATAAAGGAACGAGAGCAGTTTAGAACGAGGCTCAACAGCTGGGGCCATTGAACTGGAGTCGTGGAGCTGTTGTTGGTCCAGCTCCGCCATGGCCCCAGCTTCACATGGTTTCTGCGCGCAGAGTTCTTATGCAGCCATTTGACGCATGCACTGTGTAGCCATGCAACCTTTGACAGCCTTTGAACTATCAGCAAGATCGATCACCTGTCAAAGACAGATCCATGGGTGAGGGAAAGTCACCCGAAGAGGAGCGATAGGGGCAGGCGAGAACCCGAGGATTAGAGAGGTCCTGTGACCAGAAAGGTTCCCTAAGGAGAAGGCACAGGCCTGGGAGAGGGCAGGCGCGGTGTGACAGGCCCTGTGCTGAGGAGAAACCACCAGGGTGGGAGGAGAGGAGTCGGGAGCCAGGTTGCCCAGGATCCGGGGAGAGGGAGAAGTCAGGATATCACTATTCACCTGTTGTCAGCCCCACGGACAGATCTGGCTTCACGAAGGATTTCAGAAGCCCCAGGGGAACTATTCCAGACATGGGGTTTTGAGATGTACAGCTGAGGCTAGGGACTGGGACAAGTCAAATCGGTAGGAGAGAGTGTGAACATTTTCCCAGAGTGTCTCAACCAGCAGGGGGTCTCAATTGACTTGTTTGACCTCCTTCATACTGACGTGAGTGCCCAAACTCTTCGCCTGGACGTGGCCCTTGAGGACTAGGCTGAGTGCCCTCAGTACGCTTAGCCCCGCCCAAGACGTGCAGAGGAAGAAGGAAAAGGGAAGTGGGCACAAGGGCAGCGAGACTGCTTGCCTGGTGTGCAAAGCGCAGGCTTCCCCTTCCGTGACATGCGTAGTGTCAAGATGTCCAGAGGAGGGCTAGGGCACATTCATGCCTCCCTAAGGACTGTGTGAAAGGCAAGCAAAGGCTGGGCGTTGGTGGCGCACACCTTTAATCCCAGCACTTGGGAGGCAGAGGCAGGTGGACCTCTGTGAGTTCAAGGCCAGCCTGGTCTACAGAGCAAGTTCCAGGACAGCCTCCAAAACAATACAGAGAAACCCTGTCTCGAAAAACCAAAAAAATAAAAAAAATAAAAACAAGCAAAAGGCCAGGTGGTAGTGACACACATCTTTAACCACCATTCGGGAGGCAGAGGCAGGCAGATCTCTATGAGGCCAGCCTGGTCTACAGAGCTAGTTCCATGACAGCCAGGGCTATACAAAGAAACCCTGTCCACCTCCCCCCCCCAAAAAAAAAACCAAGCAAAAAATGCCAAAAGATGACAACATTCGAACCCCTATTTGGCTCTTATTTACTATGCTAGAGTGAGCCAGTGGGCCTGGCAAAGGCAAGTAGTGCTAGAGGCAAGGCACCAGCCCTTTGAGAGAGACTATCCCTGGGAAGGGTGCGAGCAGGCAGAGTACCCTGTGGTTAGTCAGAAACTGGCTTCTTGTATAGTCCTTTGTGGCAGGGAAGGCATGGCAGGATCTTGAAGTAGGGTCCCTTTGCATCTGCAGTCAGGAACAAGAAACCAATGAATGTGGGTATCTAGCTAGCGTCCTTTTTATGTAGCCTGAGACCCAACCCTGGGAGTGCTGCCAAGATGGGATTTCCTACTCAATTAGCCTAATCAAGATAACCCCTCAGAAGCATGCCCAGAGACTGTCCTGAAGCAATTCCTCAGTGTCCCTGTAAGCTTGTGTCCTAGGCAGTTCTAGAACCTGTCAAGTTAACAGCACTAAATGTACCTCGGGGTCTAACAGGAAGGTACAGGAACTAAAAGGTGTGCATTGAACTCTGGCCAGGGTCCTGACCTACACTGAGCTCTGGGTTCTAGTTCACTCACTTCCCATCCCAGTTGTCCCAGTCTTGCTGCTTGGATTCAGTGAGGCCTCTGTTTCCTCTGAGAAATGGAGTAGGTTGGGAAGAGCTGTATCCACTACAGCTCCCTGCTCTGATTGTACACCAACCCTATCCAGATGGGCAACCAGGGATGAGCTATCCCAATGGTCACACCCCCTAAATGAACAGTTTTTCTAAATGAAGGGGTGAGAAACCCAGATAACAGGAAGGAGTGCAGGTATTACCACTGGAGAGAATGTTGGTCTATGTCTTTCCAGGTTCTAGGTCCCTTGTTCAAGAGTGAAATAAAAGCCAGGCGGTGGTGGCACACACCTTTAATCCCAGCATTGGAAAGGCAGAGGCAGTCAGATTTCTGTGAGTTCAAGACTAGTCTGATCTATAGAGCTAGATCCAGGACAGCTAGGGCTGTCTCAAAAACAAAAACAAACAAAAAAAAAGTGAAATAAAAAGGCTGGTGACCTCTTCCAGAGGTCCTGAGTTCAATTCCCAGCAACCACATGGTGGCTCACAACCATCCATAATGGGATCTGAAGCCCTCTTCTGTCATTCAGGTGTACATGCAGATAGAGCACTCATATGCATAGAATACATAAATCTTAGAGTGAAATAAAAGCCCACACAGATTGTAAAGTAACAAGGAAACTTCATTCAAATAATAGAGCAGTTTAGAACACACTGCAAGAGATTAGTGGACTACATGAGTGAAGATACTCAAGAGCACAGTTTCCTTTTTTTTTAATGTGCATGAGTGTTCTGCCTGCATGTATGTCTGTTGCAACCTGTATGCAGTGCTCACTGAGGCCTGAAGACATCAGGCCCCTTCGAACTGGAATTACAGATGGTTGTGAGCCACATATTGTGATACTAGGAATCAAAATGAGGTCCTTTGTAAGATCAGAAAGTGCTCTTAACCTCCAAGTCATCTCTCCAGCCATAGGGCTTCCTTTTATGGAGCTCAAGAGAAGGAGTTGGGTTACTAGAGGGATCTGTAGCATGGTTCTCCCCCCTTTTCTTTCGGTTTTTTGGGACATGATTTGTGTGTGTAACCACTGTGGCTGTAGACCAGGCTGACCTTGATCTGCCTGTTTTTGCCTTCCAAGTGCTAGGATTAAAGGCATGCACCACCACTACCTGCCCAACTCGAGTCATAAACTTCAATGCTGTACATAGTCTTTATCATAGTGCATCTGATTTTAATGATATACACACCCAATTATGCATAGGCATGGTAAAAAGATTCCCCTTAAAAGGTCACTTTTAGAGGAGACAGTTTGCTCTATTGTACATGTGTCCCAAGCCAGTCAAGGTTAGGTCGAATCACCTCTGTACCCATGTGTTTGTCAAGTCTGATGGTCCATAAGGGCAAAAGAAACTTACTCCATTGTTCAGAGTGGAATGCGTTTGTAGCTAATACAAATGAGAGTCTAGGTACAGTGCTCAGAAAGAGGTAGGTGTGTGTGTGTGTGTGTGTGTGTGTGTGTGTGTGTGTGTAGTATGTACAGGTGACATTCCTAAGCTGTTAAATGGATTATAATAGGTTTATGTGCATAGCCAAAACCAAGTAGAGTTCCCGGTTGCCATTCCTAATGGTTACTTGCCTCACTGGAGTGCTGGCAGGGTTGGGAGCCCCTTTATGGGGACCGGTTAGGTTTGTATGCAGGTGATGGGAAATGTTTAGACAGTCACTGAGATGATATGGAGTCAGTGAGAGAGCATCCACAGAGACCACTGAGATACACTAGATGATAAAGTAGATACTGCTTTGTGAGGAACTACTTTAGGGGAAAGTTGGAGATATGTACCTAGAGCTGCTGATAAGCTCAAATGAGATGGAACTTGTGGGACTTAGTGACAGGCTAAGGTTTTTAACAGCAGTGAGCAGCACCAAGGAAAACTTAAGCAGCCAAGAAAAGAAGGCTACATGGTTTTATGTACTCTGGAGGAAACTCTCAGGAAGTGTTCAGGTACA